TTAGGGGTTCCGCCTACACGTCATTTTCTTTCCGAACACGGTATTGGGATGCGGCAGATTGCGGGGGGAATGGGAGGGGGGGGATCACGATGTCGGCTCAACATCGTGATGTCTATCAGCCATCGGTGAGAGACGATGGCATCATCTATCGGCCCAACCCTAATATCTGAAAAGACTATCTGTTATGATGCTTTTGCAGTTTTCAAGTAGATGGAGTCATTTTTTCATGCTATGAAAATGGAGCACCTCTAATATTTCAGATTTTCACATTTAAAAACAATTGTTAAGAGTTGGTCATATTTGTTATATTCACTGTAAAGCTTTAAAATGACACCTATTTTGTATTGGTCAAGCAACTGCTAATGAAGTACCATGACGATAACTTTACAGCTTTGTGAATATAATAGTGAATATAACAAATATGATCAACTCTTAACTAGTGTTGTCACACACTACTCTTAACAACTCTTCGCCACTACCCCGCTTGGCCACTCAAGTGTAATATGGTTAAATTGGTACTTGTATGTCCTTTTTGTAGCTTGTCAGCCACAAGTTACTATCTGCTTCAACTGTATGTAAAATAGCAGCTTGAACATTTTGTAAAATATCACCTTGCGAGTTTCACAAAATTCATATGGGGGTGGGGGGTGGGGGGTATTCTTATTTAACTATTCCTTTTAATATGAAACACAAACCCTTTCTTAATCTATTAGTCCATTTGTTGAGGTAAAGTAACACTTTTTTCCATAGTTAGAGGGGGAAAGTAACTAATTACAAATACTTTCGTTACAGTACTTGAGTACATTTTTTTTTTTAAATCTACTTTGAGTATAATTAAATTGTGGTACTTTTACTTTTACTTGAGTAAAATAAAACTAAAGTATTAAACTTCACTACATTTATTTTTCACCAAAAGTACAAAGTACAAACCAAAAAAAATTACAAAGAAGGCGCCGATGGAGAAACAAAGCGAGCGGTCGTTTGACGGGCACTTTTCAAACTTCAGGGGTAGAGCCCTGCGCTTCAGGCAATAACAGACAGGTCTGACTCGGGTGCAAAACCAATCAAAACTTCCAGTTCAGCAGCGGGGGCGGGCCGTTCAAACCACGCTTTGCTTTGACTGTCAATCATTGCGTTGTCGTTTTGAATCAGCATAGCGTTTCAATATTTTGTGAATGTGAGCTATGCTCTGATTTTAAATCGTAATTTTGTCAGCTCCTGAAATGGGTCATACTGTTGATATTACCAGAGCACACAGCAGTAACTTGGTTGATAGAATTATTGCATGGATGGAGCAAGAACAATGTAAGTGTCTAAAATACATGCACACAGTTCAGTTGAATGGTAAAAAATCGTCCTCTTTAACAGTGCAGTTAAACTAAATGTACGAAACTAAAATAATCTCAAAATTAACAACAACACTGAAATAAAAGCACATGCATTTTTACGTGCATCTGGCTGATAGATAAATCATGGTTGATCTGTCAATCAGATGCATTTGAAATCACTTTTTCTGTGTGAGAGCTTTAAAAGTGTGAGCACATGGGTGAAGAAACAAGATAGTCTATGTATGACTGGACGATTTATTCATATCGAAAATGAGTCGATGTGAACATGCAGTGAATGTTTCATTCATACTCGAAGCCGGAGAGAGCTCTCCCGCAGAAAGTCCAAAACGGCCCAGTAGAAGTAATATATAATAGTGCAGGAAATCCCTAATATGGACAAAGGCATCCAGCTATGGCTATAGCTAAAAAAAAAAAAAAGGTAATTTCAGGTCATTTCCAGGTAATAAATATAGTATATGAATAATGCAGTGCTAATTGACATAACATTTATTATAATATAGAAACTATTCTGCCTTACGTGTTTGTATAAACCAATCCTAAAATTGTCATTAGGAAAACACAGAAAAAAAATATTATAGAATACAAATGATTGGTTATCGTCCAGCAGTGTATTTGATTTCTTAGCCAATTAAAAGACATAAGAAAAAAAATAAAGCCTGTCAATTAGACAAAAGTCAAAAGATGTTTTTTTTTTTTTACATTTCTGTTCCCCTCATTTCTGAAATGATATGCCCTTATGTGTGCAGTACAGAAAACAGTGCACGAGTGTTCTTGTGCTTGAATGGTTTAAAGTCATATTAAAATGTGCACAAAGGAATCAATAAGAGGAATCGAAATTTTAATTTTATAACAACTAAACGATTCCTGACCTTAAGCATCCTATTCCAGAATTGGAATAGATTTTGGATTCCCAAGCCTAGGTATTATGGGATCAGATTCTTGCAGTCACGGATAAACAAATAACAAGCGTGAAAACAAAATTTAAAAACGCAAGTAAAAAATATATTGCACAAGATTTAAAAATGAAAGCAAAGTTTTCAGAATAGCAAACAATGATCACGGATTGAAAAATAATAAGCGTAAATCAAAAAATTAATAACGGGCGGGCTTAAGCATCATCATTTATCCACTAGTTCTAGACTGACAGCTCCTCCTCTAGCCAATCAGATGAAGAGGGGCGGTGACATCACTCCAACGCGCCTCATTAGCTGCCGATGCTCAGTGTTCTGTTCACTTTTACAGGTGAAAATGGACAGCTGTCAGCTGGGAAACATCTTTCCATACAGGACACTGTTATATGTGTCTGCCTGTCACTGCTGTACGCCTGCCTGGCGATCCGTTAACGTTAAATTAGTAAATTATGAATAAATGAATGTAATGTTTTTGCATTGACTAGGCTAGATCTGACTACTGATCAATGAAAGCTATAGTGTTACAGAGGAGACAGTTACAGAGGCCAGGTGGCTTTGAAATACACAATGATTTATTTGCATATTGTGTTTATTTACATAAACACTATGCAACAAGCTACATATAATATTGCATTAACCTAGGGCTGAAACGATTCCTCGAGTAACTCGAATAAAAAAAAACAGAGCCGCGCACAGACATTTTG